CGAGATGTCTCCAGAGTGGCCTGTCCACTGTCCTACTTAGTTCTTCTTCTGTAACAAATCTCTCATCCTTACTGTGTTCCCCCATTCATACAACCCTGTCTCGCCTGTAAGAATGAGCACAGCTCTGGCCATTTTCTTTTGGAAAATGGGTAAATAAGTGTTTGGACTCACCAGTAGCGGAGACCAGGAAGCAGTGTTTTCATCCCTAATCCTTGGGCTTATATAGTTGGTCCTTCTGAGTCTTAGCCTGGGGTTCCATGGTTGAGAACATTTAGGCTTGGAATGTTGTTCATTAGTAATATCGTAACCTGAAAAATTAGTAGGATATAAGCTATAACTGCACATCCAACAACACGGCTCACCTTCCTGCATTTCAGCGTTTGCATTTATTTTGCAGCAGTGTCTTGAGCATGCATCCTCATCTTTACCGTGGTGGGTAATTAATTTATTCCTTTCTCTGCTCTTTCTCACACTGGATCCTGGCTAGCTTATTGTCAAATCCATTTCTCTTAATGGTCTTCCTGAATTCTTTGTGTTATCTGCATAATTGTCCCTTCTGCTGCTTGGCATTGTCTTCCTCTGAAACGAGGCTGAAGTTTTTCTGGTGCTTTTCTCTGGCCTGGACCGTGGCAGAGCTTGTGCCCGGCCATGTCCCCCAGGCCCCCGAGAGGACTTGTTTTGGGTTCTCTCTCTCCCTTTATTTTTGAAAAGCAGTTTTGTTTTTCCATTATTTTCCAAGTTCTTCGTGGGCTCAGATAGTTTCCCTCATGTCTTCCCTGCTAGACTGAAGCCACCAAAACATGTACACTTCAGAACTGATCTGGGCTTGTGGCCAGCTTAACAGAAGAGACTTGAGCTGACATGGGAGTCAGTTTGTTTATTTAGGCTGTGACTTTTATAGTGCCTGTCAGGCAAGTGCCTACCTGAATGCTTAATGTTTAAAAATAAAATTACATTTCAAATGGGCCCTGGCTGTGCAAAAAGCATCTCAGTTTCTATATGCCCTTTTCTTGGGAACAGATTTCATTTTCCAGGTAACCATGTCTGTGCCTCATTCTCTCTCCCTTTACACCCACCTTATACCCCCATTCAGCTTCAGATATTGTGAACGGTAGCTTCCTCTTAGTGTGGGGCTTTTCCTGACTTCTTTTCAGAAATCTGGCCTCTCACAGTCTTTATGTGTGATCTCAGTAAACAAAGAACGTACGTGTGTGTGTGTGTGTGTGTGTGTGTGTGTGTGTGTAGGAAGCTTGCCATATTTCCTCCCTGCCCCACAGAAAATGTGTTTTCTGGAAGCCCTTTTGACACTGAAGTGAATACCCACTGGCCCTCCATTGCTGAATTCTCCTGAGAGGAGAGAGAGAGAGAGAGAGGCCTTTATGCTTGTTGTCATATCTTTTGTTTCTGCTGATTATACACAAAGTAAGTTGTAAATAGCTCTCTCACACACCATGATTCCTTTGAGGTATGTACAGGAGAGTAGATATGCACTCAGCTTCTGCCTACCCTGGGGATCCTAGAGGGTCCCTTACAAGGCCTCTTATTTCCTGTTACAGCACCAGCAGAATGAAATGGAGATGAGTACTAGACAATTACCATCCCATAATGAAACCTGTGGCGGAATGTTTAGCCACATTAGCTGATCAGGTTAGTACTTTCTTTTCAACTTAAATGTGTTTTTTTTTACTTTGAAAGCAAAATATGCAATGATTAAAACAAAGAATTTAAAAAGTTCCCTCAGTCTAACTTCTTTTCAGAGATAAAAATCACTACGAACATTTCGCAAAAATCATTGTAGAACTTAGTTTTAGAAATATGGCATTGAAACAGACACTGTGAACGCTGGCATGAAGGAAAGTGGATAACATTGGAATTCCCCAAATCAATTTTAAGTTTTATATTCCAGTGAAAACAGTGGTTGGGTATACACTATATTTTAATATTTTAATTTAAAATAGAGTACTAGAAAGGATTTACACAATTTGTTTCCGCTGTTTCTGTCAATCATTTTTTGACTGCTTTATAGCTATTTGGTTAACAAAGGAGGCTTCTAAATCAAAAGGCCTAATTGTCTAGGTGTGCTGGATTATAACTAATTAGGTTATCAACTTTTATATCCTTTGTATTTTCCTTGGGATGATGAATTAGGAACCAGATACTGTCACTTGCCTTTTCCTTAAAATTTTTTTCTCTGATAATCAATGACACCAATTGTCAATGGGGGTGGGAGAGTATTATTGGAAGGTGAACCCATCCCTGAAACTGCAGTTTAGTTTGAACCTCAATTTCCTCGTCTTTAAAATATGGGAGTCCATTTATATGGACACTAACAGATTTTTTTTTTTCTGCTCTGAAACTCGAGACTTCTAACTATGAGAATGCTACCCACTTTCCTACTAAATCCTTTTTGTGATCTGGATTATTGAAGCATTCTAGAGGCTTGGCATAGCTTCCTTCCAACATATTCACAGAACTTCTTGTTTTCTCTCAGAAACTGAATTTCTAAGTGTCTGAGGTTGTAATTGAGTGTCATTGTGCTTGGTTAACTGTCTCATTTCCTGTTGAGAGTGTTTATAAAATGCATTCTGTTAGGGGGGAAAAGGAACTAGAAACTTAGAAAATTTGTGATCTGGCCAAATAATATTAAGGTAAGTGGGACTTTGTTCTGTGTATATAAAATAAAGTATTGTTTTTACACTTAATTCTGACTCACGGATTCTGCTTTAATGAGTTAAGTAATCACATTTATTGAGGCTTTATGGGAAGCTCTTTTGGGGGGGTTTCATTTTGAAATGGATATTCTAAGATGAGTTTTTTCCAGTCCTTGCACCCTAGGGAGAATTACTGTTGCCTGACTCATTAGTGCCTCTCTGTGTGTCATCTGAGGGGTGGAATCAGCATCATTCTGTGTGTGACACAACCCAGATTCACAGTGTCTCAACTCTCCTCCATGCCCCCTTTCTTTCTCATTCCTCAAGTTTAAGGATCAGTTCCCTTTTTCATTGCTTATGTTGTCCTAGACCAGGGGTGGGCAAACTTTTTGACTCCAGGGCCACAATGGGTTCTTAAACTGGACCGGAGGGCCGGAACAAAAGCATGGATGGAGTGTTTGTGTGAACTAATATAAATTCAAAGTAAACATCATTACATAAAAGGGTACGGTCTTTTTTTTTTTTAGTTTTATTCATTTCAAACGGGCCGGATCCGGCCCCCGGGCCGTAGTTTGCCCACGGCTGTCCTAGACCAAAGAGCAAGTAGTCAGCCTTGGTTTCTGGTAACACCTTCTCCAGTTCCTTTGTCTTCTTTGTAATTTCTTTCATGTGAAACATCAACAAATGCCCCTAGAATGAATGCCACTAAATACAACTATTACATGCTTTTCATTAACTTTGAAATATGTTCTCAGTTTTTCTTCCTCATTTTTTAAAGTTTGGGCAGTGCAACTCTCTGGCATGTGACTCTGAGCTCGTTTTATTTACCTACTCTAAGTTCCGGCTTTTTCATTTGTCAAATGCAGATGCTCATACCACATAAGATGGTTGAAGGTGCTCCTGTGGTGACTGGCTCATTGCAAGTGCTCAGTAAATGTGACTTCCTTTTCCTTTCCCTCTTGGGCTTCCCTGGAGAGATTCCTGGGTAAAGAGTGGTTAATTTCAAAGTTAGATGATATTCTGTCCATTTTGCCTTATGGACATAGGCAGGATGAAAGAAGGAGAGATTTAAAAAAGAATAGGAGAGTTGAATCTGAAATGTTTGAAGAGTTGACTGAATGCTTTTTTAAAAATAGTAATATTCACTGTTTACTATTCATTAGTAAAAATTAGTAATATTGCAAAATGAAGCTTCTTGATGTTTAAATTTGGAGAAGTGAACTGATTTGTGGGTCAAAAAGAGAGAGGGAAATACCTTCTAAGACAGCACACTTGGATGAAAAGTGATCTCTAAACAAAGAAAATTGATTGGCACAGATGATCCTAATTGAAGTTAAAACAAAACAAAACAAAACAAAACACCAAAGGAGGACTTTGATAGGGAAAGGACACAGATGGGGTGAATCTCATTGATGAATTGAGATTCCTATATATATGGATAGATGTATAATTAATGAAATGGTATATGTTTAGAAGTATTGAATATTAGATAAAATTTTTACAAGGAAAAAACAAGTTTAAGTCAAATCTATATCTTTGTTTCCTTATCTTAAAAAGTCTACAATTAAGTGAGCAAATTATAGGAGGCAGTATTTCAAGATGAGATTGACTCCTTATAATGAATAACTTACTTTTGAAAGGGAATTTTAGTGGCTTTCAATGTAGAATTCTAGAAACAAAGAACTAAACTAAGTTATAGCTGTTTTATTGTTATCATTTTATTATTAGAACAGACATAATTGATAGTAAGTAAATAATAAATATTGAAAAATAAACTTGCCTTTGCTAGTCTATACCAGGAATAGAAGAAATAGATTTGGATAGATCTTTTAAGAGTGCAGAGGAACTTTAGGCATTATGGAATACAATTTTCTTAATTCCCACATAAGAAAATTAAAAGAGGAATAAATATTACCAAGCTTCTTTTCCCCTTCCCTTATTTCCTTCCTCCATGCCTTTTTACCTTTCTCCTTCTCTCCTCCTTCCATCTACAGATATTTAAGTGCCTACCTTGTGCTCCATGCTGTAGATACAAGGGGGAATACATTTTATGTGGATCTTGTGGATCTTTTTTTCTTGGAATTTACCTTCTTGGTAGTTAGTAAACTAGGATGTGTGATATTTACAACATGTTTGACCTACTAAGTGTCAAAAACCTGTGAAGCCATGATGGCCTGTTTCAGACCTGCAGTTGGGATGTCCCTGCTTCTGCCTGGGTCAAGTGTGTGTGTGTGTGTGTGTGTGTGTGTGTGTGTGTGTGTGTGTATGTGTGTGTGCGTGCGCGCGCGCGCGTGTGCAGTTCTCAGCCACCACGCCCAGCGCCTATCTAATTCCGCCATATTCCCCCAGGTTCCAGTGGCATGTGCTGGCAGAGTGCTGGGTGCAGACTTCTGCCCAAACCTGGAGGAGCCAGACCAGAGGCTGGAAGTCCAGGTTGGAGTCTTACTGTTTTATCAGTTGGGGGTGGCGTGACAGAAACAGTGGCCCCCAAAGGCCACACAGATGGATCTGTGACATCAGGAGACGGACAGACAACCATTGAGACAAGTGTAGAAGAGGGATCAGTGTAGCATATATGCAGCAAAATGTCCTTTTCAGGATAAGTTGTCTGTAACTGGAGATCATTTATTTATTAATCCAAGAAATAGTACATACTGCAGTGGATAAGACCGTGGTGTCTGAAGGCTGGCTGCCCAGGTGATGCAAGCTGCTTGCTGTGAGACCTTTGGCAAGTCAGTCAGCTTAACTGAGCTTTAGCTTTCTCATGTGTAACATGGAGATCTACCACACAAGGTGATTATGAGGATTAAATGTTCCAATGTATACCTAGCAGTTAACCTGGGCCTGGCACGCAACAGGCACTCCGGGAATATTAGCTCCCATCTTTTTAAATCATCATAGTCATGTGCTAAGCACTGCGCTAGGGACTGGGGATACCTGGTGAGCAAGGCATGCTTCCTGCATTATGGTCTCCCAGCCCAGGAGAATGGAAGCCATTCCACTGGGCACTGTCTTAGAGAAATAGGACTCAATAATAGCTGTCTTCCTTCTTCATGGATTGGGAGATAGGGCCTCTGGTAGAATAGTAAGATTATTAGCAAAGTACATTTTTGTGTGTGAAAGTATTGACTTGGAATTCAGTTCATTTTGTTTGGTCTTGAGATAGTCAAAGCAGTCTGGTATGTTGCAAATTAAAAATATAAACATGATGTCTTGGCCTAAGTAATGTCTCCACTTCCATGTACCTTTAAATATGTAAGAAATGTGTGTGCCAGTGATGCAAGGCTGAGGTTTCAACAGGGATGCCAATCCCTAGCATAAGCCAACTCATAGTATTTTTAGGACCTCCATTTGGCATCATTTTCTAAAATTTTCAGACTTACGGGATGAGCATTGTGAGTTCAGTTTAAAACATATTACTGATTGAGATAACCCACATGAGAAAAGAGAATAGTTTTAAACATTACTTCTTCACAGTGGGAGTGAAGGTAGAAGGGGTGGTTGGAGGAGGTTTCGGTTTTTATGGTACTGAAGGGTACACCATCACTTGCACACCTGCTCTTGGACTAGGAAGACCACCTGAGCTCTTCAGTGCCACAAGCTGGTACTGCCTGGGTGGTGCATGGCTATGATACAACAGAAAAGCAGGTGTGACACATACGAGACATGAGCGTGCATTTCCCAGTTTTAGAAAGTTAACAGCTTGTGTGTGACACGTCAATGCAAAGTGATGGAAGACTTTTCATGGAGAATAGTCTGATCCTTGACCTCTTTGGGTAGGACAGTTGATGGTCCTCAAACGTATCACCTGGAATGATCTGTCATGGGTGGCTGTTGGATCATTTGTTTTTGAACCTTGAGTTATGGTGCAAAGAGCAATGGGTTTTGCAGATGTGACTGTGTGAAGTAAAACTGAAAGAGACCAATGCAGCTCATTATGATGACACACCAAGGGAGGAAATGTGTATTTATACGTTTAAGTGAAACTCTGGTTGTAGGTAGTGAAACAAATTGTGGAGTTGACAGTTCAGCGTGGGCCTTGCGAAGACAACTGAACTCCTGGGCAAAGAAATGAAAGTGCTCAGTTTATTGGATTCCTCCTCTTGCAACACTACTTTGGCAGACTGGGTGGAAAGGTAGAACCTGTCAAAAGATAGTCAACTATGGTGAATTGGTCAATTAACTGGGACTCACTCGAACGGTTTCCTTCTCTTTTTTTCCTCTTCATTTTTTAATATGGCTTCCATACATTGTAATACTATCTAGTATATATCCATATTATGTCAGTCATAACAAACTGGACCCCTAACATCTTCTTCACCAGCTAACAATTCCAGGAGTAGTTTTTAGCTTACAGTCCTTTCATTCTTGCCATGGAATGTATTCTGGTGTTTGGTGTTCCCCCCTTCCCTTACAGAATGAGCCATTTCTTATATTTTAGTCCAACTCTACACTCCATGGGGCTCACTCTAGGACTTCCCAGGGTCATCAGAGTCATTTATTTTCCCACTCGGATCTCAGGCTCTCCCTCAGGGCCAGACACCATAACCACCAGAGGATTCGCGATGTCACCTCGATTCTGAGAAGAACCCTGTGGGCACCTCAATTTAGGAGCAATGTGTGTTTATATCTTTTCCTAAAAAGGATTTTCATTTAGACACATAGCACCCATATCTGGTCTACTTTTATATTTAGCTGACATGAGTTTTCATGACTGGTGGAGTCCTTTCCTGCTTCCTTTTATTTTTTTTTCTTTGTTGATTAAGGTATTCCTTTTAACCCTTTTCTTTTCTCCCTAAAATGTCAGATGGCTTACCAAAGTTATTGTTTCATAATCTCAAGATCCCTGACACTCTTTCATTAATATACCTTTGGTCTGGAATGATCATAACCTGACTTGACTTTTGCAAGGACATCTGTTCTTTTTTTTTTTGGTGTTAATAGACTTGATTTAGAAAAGTAGCTGGAAATCAAGATTTTGGTTCATTATCTAACTTTGTTAATTTTCTTCAGTGGCTTTTGAAGTAGGTATAAAACTACTTTATTCAGCTGGGAAGGTAAACTGATGTCTAGTAGATGATGATGTATAAAAATTGTGTTCTTATATAAGTGCTTTATAGGCAATGGTTATTCTAGTTTAGACTCCCTTAATTGCTGGTAACTTTTATTTTTAATCAGAATAGATGATGATGTATAAAAATTGTGTTATATAAGTGCTTTATAGGCCATGGTTATTCTAGTTTAAACTCCCTTAATTGCTGGTAACTTTTATTTTTAATCAGAGAAAAGTTACTTTTTTAGTCTAACTGTGCCTCATCAGGTATTGAGTTGTTACAGTAGGCCCAGCACATTTCCTTTCTTGGTTGGGAAATTCAAGATGTGGGGTTTGACTTGATATTTTTTCACCACTAAAGTGCTTAGAAAATTAGAGTAAATAATGAACCAATATTTCTGTACTAGATGAGACACAATTTACTGTGGTGTTTCATAAACCACAGACTCCTTTCTTCTGTGAATGCGTGAAGGATCACTTTTTTTTCCAGACATACCGGGGTGCAAGTGTAAATTTCCATAAAATTTAAATGAGGTGCTTCCTGTAATTAATGAACAATTGTGGCTGCTCTCTAGTCTGCATTGTAATTAACCGTGATCAGGCTTGTTTAGTGATGACACTGTTCCTGTAATAATTTGACAAGCTACTGTGAATTTGCCAGGTTATTAAACAACCTGCAGCATTCACTCATGGAATCACAGGGACGAGCTTGGCGGCTGCTGCTAGTTAAACGCAGCATAAGGGTGGACCAAAAGCTGCCCATTGAAGTCTATAGATCACCATGAGCAGATTTAAATTCCTGTGATTTTGGAGAAGTTAACTAACTGTGTACAGGGTGTCCTGAAAACTTTTAATTTAAACCTACTGACGCAAAACTGGTCATTTTTATGAATTCATAACGAAGCTAGCAAATTTTTTATATTGTTATCACTAGTGTGCATTAAACGGAATCTGAGATTTCCCCTTCCCACCCTCTTAAATAGGTATATTAATTTTTTAAAAAAACCAACAAACAGTTTCCTCTCCAAATTCATTCACATCATCCCTCAAATATAAGTTCACTGGTATTTTTGAGTGTGTGTTAGAAATAACAGATGAGCTTGTGCTAAACACAGTTGTGTCACAGGTAGAGTGAGTGATGTAAATGGACTGGTAGACTTCTGTCCATGGTCGCTAGTGCACCCGCCTTCCCCAGCCCCCCTTCAGGTTAAGAACTGTTCAAAACGTTACTGTCTAGTTACTGTGGTGTCTTTCATTCAGATTCTGTTTATTGACGAAACCACAAGGATTCCTGCCCAAAGTACCAGGCGGTCTATGCTTGACTGATTTTGATTTTCTAACATCAGCCCTGGGGTTTATTTGAAAAATGTACATAGACTGCAGCTTTAACAAGTCAAGTGACTGCATGTTTTTGACCATGGAGTGGAGTATATCTGAAGATCATTAAATTTAGTGAGGGTAAGGAGAGGGGTGGGGAATAAGTGTAGTAGTCATTGTACCATTGCCGAGTGTGTGTGCGAGTGTGTGTGTGTGTGTGTGTGTGTGTGTGACACATGGTTTTTGTCTTTTCATCTTCTCCAAGAGCCAGAAAGTTTCCTGCCGTTCTCTTTCCAGCTCTTGACAAATGATTGCCAGATGTGAGATCTTTGCAGTGCTCTTTCCCTCAGCAAACCTGCAGCGATGGGATATTTGATTCTCCCTTGCCCATTTCATCTCCTTTCCACATCTGCCAGGGACACACAAGCAATACATCCCTCCATGAGAGTTTAAAGTTTATTCAGCTCCTTTTCCCCCTTCGATAAAGTGTTTGGAGACAACAGAATGAGGTCCATATGATTCCCTCCCAACTTCACTACATGAAATTAGTTGTTTATTTTACTTATCTACCTCTCAGTAATTGAGTATTTCATTTTAGTTTTGGTCCATGGAAAATTTGATGCAACTCTGGGAGTGCTAAGAGTTTCCTATTGTTGTCTGCTTGCTGCAAGTATGCTATCAATACCACTTCGCTCTGATACCTCCGTTCTGATAAAAACTAGACTGTTGGTTTCATAGGACTTCCTAGGAAAGTAATTTTAATAAACAACTGTCAAAATATTAGGTGTAGCATGTCTGGTAAAATTCAGTAGTCATTGAAGATTAAAACTGCCATCTGTGAGGGGGAACATTCAACTTGTTTGGCTTGATTAGCTTACCTTGTGTTTGTGTCCATTGTCAGAGTTGAAATGGATGAGGTCCTAGTTTTAATCCCAAATAGCTTATGAGAGAGAAAGTCCACGGAGCTTTGGAGGCATCTGAAATTAGCCTGTGCAGGCCACACACATAATCACTACCATGCACAGAAGCCTTCTGCATCTGCTTGGAATCTGTAGTGATATTG